AAAGTCTTAGTAATCCTAAGGCTTCAGCTCCATAATCACACTTGGTTAGCTCAAGACTAATTAGTCATTCAACATCATTTATTTATCATGAGAATTGCCTCCCAAATTACCAGTTTATTTAGACTTCGCTAATAATTATTTTGCAAAGCTTTTTTACCACTACTCATTTGCATGTGTAGAATTCACACTGAGAGGGTAAGCTAAGAATGGGTTTTTCTTTTTAGTTAAAGTTTAACTGGAATGGCACCTCCCCCCCCCTCCCCCGCTTGCCAGATTGGTCCTTCTGTGGGACGCAGAATTGAATGTTGTCCCTTTAAAAGAGCCTGGTGGTATGCTGTGTTTATAATCCTCAGATCCCATGACTCAGCCTCACATTTCCCATCCTTGCTCTGCACACTCCTGCTCACATTTGGTTTATATTTGACTTTTCTTTACTTAAGAAGAACAAGATTTATTACTAGTCAGAAGCCAGCAGATCCCGATATTTTAGAAAAAAAAATACACAAACCTTAGCCTGGCAGAGTGAACCATGCTCTGGCTCTACTGGGTCTTGTGAAAGAGGTCACCCAGATAGGACACTGCTACTTGCATTTGTCTAGAATGTGTCAAGTTGTCTAAACGCTTCTACCTATTGGCTCATGTGATTTCTGAAGCACGCTGGGAGGAAAAAAGCACAAGAATCACTCACGCATCTATGTAATGTGTATTTACTGAGCACAAGACATATGCCAGAGACGAGGGGTTGTCAGGCACCGAGAGCTGAGCGTGTACTGGTAACTAAGACAGGCATGTCCTGTCCTCAGGTAGGTGGGTGGGTCACTGAGTCCCACCATGAGGCAGGTGCCCCAGGAAAGGGTCTTGATACCTTTTTTACTTACTAATCATAACAAACTGTGAGAAAGGTCTTATTAACTTCAATTTGGAGATGGGATAACCAAAACTCTCAGAGGGTAAGTGACCTGAGTAAAGTCACCAGCTGATAAGAGGGAGAGCTGGTGCTCAGACTTAGGCATTCTTAGTCCAAGGCTGCTGATTGCATCCTGGATTCTTTCCAAATATGTGCTCTCACGTCAACCCAGATCAATTCAAGCTCTCTTTTTCAGTTTCCCACATCCCATGGTTTGGCTTAGAAAGGTATCTGGTGCAACACACAACAGATACTGAGCATCTAAAATTAGTACTTTAAGGATTTAATCTTTATGGAAGCTCAGAGAATAGCATGGGAAAGTTTTTGTGAGACCAGTGTGGGTGGGGTACTTGCACTGGAACAAGGGTGACAGAGGAGCTCAGAGAGGTGATCCAGGAATTCCCAAAGGCTACCCCTGACTCAGTCAGTGACCAGGCCAGTTTGAAATGAGTCATCTGTGGCATGGGGGCAAACAACCTTAGTCTCTCACTAAACCATCGGGAATCAGGCAGGCCAAATATTTCCCCCTGGGAGAATAATCCTAATTATAATCCCTAGAATTTGCATGCCCCTCCACAGTTTGCAAAGCACTTTCATATCCGTTTCTTCATTCACCGATTGTTCATTGCACAAATTCAGAAGGGACCAGCATCCAAGAGGACCTACCTAGTCTATTGGTTTTAATATATTTTTTTAAAAAGTAAACTCCTTTGTCAAAATGAAATCTCACACAGTAGTCTAGTGTATAAAATTGATGTGAGTGGAACTTCTGTGGTTGGGATGGGGACAGAGCTGGGAAAGGCACAGATTATACTTAAATCTCTGCTTTGACCTCTGTGTCTGTTTCTGAGGGGTCTCCAAGGAGCCTCCAAGTCCCATGAAACACAGTAGGACAAGCTTGTTTCTAGTGACTACCCATCCCGCTTCACTCTTCCACCAAAAGAAAAAATGAGGAAAAAAAAAAAAGCTGAATGTCCTGGAGGTAATATCAGATGTCCAAGGCCACTCTTTGTCTAGTATTCTTTCCATGGAATTCACCAGGGCAGGTTTCTCAGATGGTTAATTCCTGAAGATTTACCTTGGAGCCCGGTTGCCCCCAGGTGTTTCAGGAAAGTGTCCTCTTGGTCATAGTCAGCAGCAAGGTCAACTCTACTACTACTTTGCTAAGTGCCTACTCTTCACGTGTGGCTCAGAGGCACTGTCTTCCTTTCAGATAGGCCACCCTTCAGTGATGGACTGCCAGCCACGGAGTGGTTGGGGAGTAGGTCCAGTGATGCTTCAATCTGAAACACTCTCCCTGAAAATGCAAGAGGAGCAGCCTATCAGCATGCAGGCTCTCCTTACATTAAACTAGATAGTGACTGTTATTGGGTGAATGTGTGTTTCCCTCCAAAATTCATACGTTGAAATCCTAACCCCCAATGTGATGGTTATTAGGAGATAGGGCCTTTGAAAAGTGATTAGGTCATGAAGGTGGAGCCCTCTAAATGGGATTAGTGTCTTTATAAGAAAAGACACACAAAAGAGCCTCTCTCTCTCTCTCTCTCTCTCCCTCTCTCTCCCTCTCTCTCCCTCTCTCTCCCTCTCTCTCCCTTTCTCCCTCTCCCCCCCCCTCTCTCTCTCCCCTCCTTTATGTGAGGATAGGAGATGATAGCCATCTGCAAACCAGGAAGAGTGTTCTCACCAGAACTCAACCATGTGGGCACCCTAATCTCAAACTTCCCAGCCTCCTGAATTGCGAGAAATAAATTTCTATTGTTTAAGCCACCCAGTCTATGCTATTCTGTTATAACAGCCTGAACTGATCAAGATAGCGGTGATTGCAGCACGATTTTTTTAATGTGCTAAATGCTACTTACTGAATGGTTAAAATGGTAAATTTTATGTTATATGTATTTTAGCACAAAGATAATAATAACAACAACCATAATAAAACTTGCATTGGCTCCCTATTTCCTAGGGATGAAGTTCAGACTTTCTGGTACAGTTTACGGCCTGGCCCCTGCTTATCTCTCTATCCTGAATATCTTGCTGTCCCCCTTAAACTCCTCATCTGATCACATGTTCAAGTCATTCCAAACTGCTCTGCATTGCCTGAACAAGCCATGCTCTTTCACTTTTCCATCTTCACTCACAGTTTTGCTTTTAATAATAATAGCAAACATTTGTATATAGCACTTACTATATGCATATATGCACACATATCTAGTGCTTAATATGTGCAGGACTTTTGATTCATTTAACCTTCAGAAATTTTATGAAATAGATACTGTTAGACTTGAGGAAATTGAGGCTAATTGACTTGTTCAAGATCACACAACTATAATAGTAAGCAGCCAAGGCAAGGTGCGAACCAGGGCATTCGGGCTCCTGAATCCTTGCTATTGCTCACTACAGAGCACTCCCTGTGGATGCTTTGTCCCTGTGGCTTCTTCTGAAGAATCCCTGGTTCAACTATCACCTCCACTGTGAAGCCCCCCGCCCCTCCCAGCATTCCCCAGAAAAGGATGCAGCTCTTTTTTCTAGAATCAATAGCACTCTACACACACACATACACACACACTGTGTGGTAACAGCCTGTTCCTGAGCCTCATTCCTTACCAAAGTGCAAGAGGCCCCTGAAGACAGGGACGGTCTTACTTCTAGTGATACCTTTGAGCACTCACTACATGTTTAATGAATTAAAGATGGCTGAGTGCACTTTCCCTCGATTTTTCAATAAATAACAAACTCAAAAAGGGAATTACTTTCCCTCAGAAATTCTGGCAAGGCTCCTTCAGGGTTTGGCCACAGTCACTGATAACCACTATCATTTCCTGTGTATCTCACCAGGCAAGAAGTCCACTCAGATTTACTTTCAGTAGTCCACATTCACAATAAATACTGCTTTTGATTTCCAAATATTAAAATCACAGGATGTGAAATTATAATGCAAATATGATTTTTCAAACTCAAAATGCCTCCCTGAAGGATATAACAATCTCCCCCAACTCTTTTTTGAGATTTATTGGGTAGGCTAGATGGGAGAAAGTGGGTTAATGTTTGCACAGATCTGAGTATAAATGGGACCAAGAAAGAACGGATGGATGTGTGGGTAGATGAGAAGATGGATAAAATGATGAATGGCTATGTAGATGGATGGATACAGTGATGAAGAAATACGTGGGTGGATGGATGGAGAAGAAGATAATGTGTAGATGGACACGAGTTTGTGAAGAAACGTGAAAAAAAAATGTATGGAAAGATGCATAAGAAGTAGTATGGAGGGTGGTTGGATAGATGAATGGACAGGAGGATGGATAGATGTGTGAACCCTGGAGGGATGTAAGGAAAGATGGGTAGTTAGATGAGTGGGTGGATGGAAGAATATTGAGGAGGATGAATGAGAACATGGGTGAGTGGATGGATGACGAATGGGTGGATGAATCCAGGTTCCAGCCTGAGACTGGAGGTTGGCACATGGGTTAGTGGAGCCAAAAGCCAGCCAGCCGCATGGCTGGCCGTCACCGTCTGTCTGGAGCAGTTCTGATAAGAAGTAAAAGTCCAAGGAGCCACGTGGTCTTGACTGCTCTTTCAAGAATGAGCTCCCCCTCGCTCTCCTGGGAAGAAGCACTCTCCATTCCTCGTCCCCGCCACGGGCAGGGAAGCACCACTATCCAACGCAGGACCTCGCCACTTTCCCAGCTCCTATCTCAGAATATCCAGCTGCCTGTGCAACCCAGAGACTATCATGCCCTGGCCCGATTCAAAGAGGAACTTAGCAGAGAGGAGAGGCCTGAGGCTGAACCCAGTGGGGCGAGGTTTCAGGACTCAGTCATCCTCCTTGCTGACGCTGCCCTTCCAGCCGGCGAGCTAGCTGTTGGGAGAAGAAAGCCGGTGCGTCTCTGGGCTCACCGGCACCCCACGGCGCTCCTGGCGCCTTCCAGGCAGCTCCGAATTGCAATCTCCACAGAGAACCGGCCGGGGGTGCAGGGGCCCGCGCAGAGGAGGGCTGGTACGTCTTTAAACCTCTGCCCGCTGCTTAGTCACAGCCCCCCTCACTTGGGTGTGTCCTTTGCTCCCTCCCTCCCTCCCTTCCTCCCTCCCTCTTAGGTCATTCAGCACTCGAATAAAACTGCAGCCAACTTCCGAGGCGCCCTCATTGCCCATCAGGACCCCAGCCTCTGGCAGGTTTGGGCTGCCCTCTCTGCCCTGTCCTCCGCCGGCCCCCCGCCCAGCGCGCCAGGACGCTCTAGCTCCACTCGCTTGCTCTCTCGGTCCGCTCCGACGCCATGGAGAAGTTTTGGTGGCGTGCCGTCTGGGGACTCTGCCTCGTGCAGCTGAGCCTGGCGCAGATCCGTGAGTGCCCGCCGGGGCAGCGGGAGGGAGTGACAGGAGTGGCCAGGACAGCCGCGCAGGCTGAGTTGGCCCTGGGGACCGGAGGGAAGGGGGCGGTGAGCGACATGGATTCGGTGAAGGAGGGCTAAGATTTGCACCAAGCTGTTGGAGAGTTTGTTGGTGTGAAGTACCGTTCTGTTAATAGGAAAAGAGAAAGAGAAGAAAGTTTGCTGGGCAAGCTGCCGGCGCGCAGCTTTGGGCGAGGTCGCCAGATCCTCAGAAAGTTAACTGTACTACTGGATGCGCGCAGCGGGTGTCTGGACTAACAGGCTCTTGTGCCCAAGGGCGCTCGAAGCCGGACTGGGCTGTGGCCGGGCAGGGCAGGGCAGAGCTAGGCAGGACAGGGGCAGGGGCAGGGCAGGGGCTGGTAGCGATGTGGCCATAGTGGTAGGCACAGTTTGGAGTGTGAGAGCTGGTGGCCATGAGCTTTCCAAGAAGGGGCCCTGGCTTCCCGCTGCTCTCCACTGCGCCTGGGTTCCAACCCTCTCACCGTTGGCTCCGGTCTCTGACTATCTTCGCGCTAGTGGAAACTTGAACCAGCTCTGTGGTGAGGTACTGCGTTTCCATGAGGTGCCAGCCTGGGGCAGGTAGTGTGAGTCGGAAAGGCAATGACTGGGCAAGCCGCTCAGTCCTTGTAAACGTCTGCTTCTGCCAATCGGTTAGGGGAAATCCAGAAAGTAATGTGGCTCATGTTCCCGCCTGGCGGCCTCGGAACAGGGACACGAGCCTGGGCATCAGGGACGCTGGAGCTGGGGCTGCCGAAGCCGCCTCCAGACGGGTCTGTGACTTTCGGTGCTTGTGGAGGTGGTGGCTGCGTGTGAGGTATTCTGGCGAGGCTGAACTCCAAGCGTTCCTTTCCTTTGTCTATATATGTATGGATAATTACATGGCTGATTTGCTTATCGCGAGCAAAATTAATTTTTCTTTTAAGAAGTGCCAGCTGGGTCATTAAAACAGCTCAGCCTATGGTTAATTCTACCCAACAAGCGTTTATTAAACCTCGCTCTGAGGAGACCAAGAAGGTAAAAGACGCAGTCCTACCTGGGTACTTGAAACTGAGAATAAGGGGGGATCCAGGATTTAGATTCCCAAAACAGAAATAATAATAATAATAATAATAATAATAATAATAATAATAATAATAGTGATTGGAATGACAGCACTAGCCGCATTTATTGCATACTTTCGCTATGCCAGGCACCGTAAAATTCTTTACATGTGTTATGTGATTTTACCCTCATGGTGGTCAAGTGAGATGTGTCCTGTTATTAGCCCTGTTTTACAGGAGAGAAACAAACTGAGGCCCAGAGAGGGAAGTTGACTTGCCAGTGCTCACACAGCCAGAGGACTGGTGCTCATGTGTACACAGGCCCATTCGCCTGTGCTTAGTCAGACTATGTGAGACTGCGTGTATGGCATGGACAAAATCTAAAAGGATTTCGGAGAAGGAGGGCTTGTAGTGGACTAGAGGCTGGGGCTGGAGAGCCAATGAGCTCTTGAAAGGCAGAGTTCTTGGGATAAGCGAGAAGAGGGAAACTTAAGTGTTTCCCTGGACCTGGCCTCAGAGAAGAGGGGCCTCTAGGGAAGTTTATTTGTATGTTACCTTCCATGATGTCTTCTGCTTTCTGAGGATTGTGACTCCCAACTCCTTTCAACTTGTCTGCCTGATCCTTCTAAAGGAACCCATCCCCAAATATTTTGGCTCTGTCCTGACCCTTGAGGTTCTCCCAGAGACCGGCAGGCTCACCCTTACCCCACGTTTCCATGGTCGCTTTGGGCAGCGTCATTTGGAGGAGGCACAAAAAGTGCCAGTAGCAATAACTGCCTGGACTCGGGCTTTCATGTGCTTGTAAAGTTGTTTGAAAGGAACTAAGACTTGGAAAGGAGACATGACTTAACAGTGAGCTCAGGCTGGGCAGACATGGAGGGCAAGGAGAGAGACGACGGGGGAAGGAAAGGCGCTGTGGTTGCTCCATTCCCGGGGATGATGGGCTCTGGAAGACAATGAGGAAACTTTGGAAAGGGGCGAGGCTTTGAGGAGGAAGAAAGAGCCAATCTCCATATGGAAAGCAAAACAGAGAGAAATGGACAAATGCAGTTAAACAACATTGGACCCAGAAACCCTGAGTTAGAGAACAGATACTTGGAAGTAGGTGCCATATGTGGGAGGAAGTAAGTGGCCCTGGGTGGAGGGTGAGATGAGCTCTCTTGCACACATCTCTGCCTTTCCTCTGTGGGCCAGAGGTCATCGCTAGGGAATCACACCCCTGGGGTGTGTCTGAGAGCTCTGGGGCTTGGGGGTGGCATGTGCCCTTCTGCTCTCTCTGAGCATTAGACACCCCTCTTGCTGGGCGTTAGAGCTTTGGCTGTGTTTTCCCAGGTGAAGGAGCAAGGAAGCAAATGTCCATCACTGACGAGGTAGCATCAATTAATTCAGTTATTCCCCCAGATACACATTGGACATCGACTTCCTGCAAAGGCAGGGTGCCAGGTAGGCGTGTTTGAGGCTGGCAGCCAGTAGGAAAAGTTTCCATTCTCTTCCAAAATGCCCCACATGGGAGGGGATACTGGTTAGCCTGAAATTCTTAGTTTATGACAGACCTCCCTTCCATTCATTCAAGAAATATTTCTTGACTCATTGTTATAGACTCAGAGATGGGGATTCCAAGGATCATTCAAAAAAAACCAAACAAACCCAAAAACCCGTTCCTTCCCTAGAAGGAGACAGATCCTGAATGAGAGGGACGCATGGCTTCCCCTCTCTCTGCCAGAGTGTTAAGGCAGGATACTTTGCACACACTGGGTTTCTGAAACACCAGTGTCACCAACGGCTGCCATGAGTTCCACCTCTATCCCCTGCAATGGGTGGGCAAGGTGTGGTCTACTGGTGTTTCATGACTTAAATGCAACCTTAAACATTAATGACACTTTTTTTACTTTACTCCACAATATACTCAGTTTGAGTTTAATATAAGAATAATGATATGTATATTTCTTACCATAAGCAAAGTTGATGCTCAAAGAAAACTCTCTGTACTGTCCTGGGGCTTCCAGGGCCTCCTGGACCCCTCCGAGTTAGGAGCACCCAGTTTTGAAAGCTTGACACTTGGCTACTGCAGCGTATGCTCCTGTCCAAAGCAGCGTCCTAAGTCCCCAGGAAATACCCTTTACTGAGCACCGACTCCATGCTAGGCATTCAGCAAGAGGTTAGCATAGGTTCTTGCAGAAGCCTCGCAACAGCCCAATATACATTCAGCACTCTCTTCACTACAAATTGAAGTTCAGGGAGATGGTATGACATTTAAGGACACACAGCTAATATGTGGTGGAGTCGGGGTCTCCTACTGTCTAACATCCCCCATGTTAGACTCCCATGTCTGTGCTCCTTTGATTCATTACTTTGCCTCTGGCAAACTTTGGACATTGTGTGTGGTTCTCCCCCCATCCTTTATGGCCAGCTAATGAGAAGCCTGTCTTGAGTGTCTTTTCTCTCCCCAGCAGGCTGTGGACTCTTGACTGCCCTGCCCTACCCTGCCCTGGCCTGTCTCTCCCCAGGTTTGGCCACAGCTGTCAAGAGATGCCAACCTAGTTACTTGTTACTAAATTAAGTCCCTTTCCTTATCAGAGTCCAGCTGCCCTTCTAGACATGCTCTCATTTGCAGGCTTGGAAAAAAGTGAGAGGCTGTTCCTCATCTAAGAGACAAGTTAAGGCAATGCCCTCTGCCTGAAAATTAAGGAAGAGGCCCTTTGCTGTCTCTCACACTGACCCTACAATCAATTAGATGCATTGACCCAAAAAGCCCCCGTGTCACCTGCTCACTGGAAACCCTCAGCATTTAGATTTAGCAGGTTGTATGTACCTAAGTGAGGGAGCCTTGAGGACCCAAGCGGTGGGCAAACACGTTCTCTACAAAAGTCAAGGATCTAAGCCAATGTGGAGCCCCAAGGTGACACGTGGCCACCCAAGTGAGATTTCAGATCTGCCTGCCAAGTCAGGTGGTTCCAGGCTGAGGTCCCCAGACAGAGTGGAAGTGGTGGGAGCAAAGCTGCGCCTGGCTGGGGCTGGGACAGCGGCTGCAGTTGTGTTTCCCCAGCACCTCCCTTTTAATGGACTCCACCCAGAGCCTGAAAGGGAAGTAGCTCTTGTAAAAGAATGACCAAAGCAGGTGGCAGGTGCTGCCAGACAAAGCATCGTACTCAAAGGGGATCTTTTCTGCCTCAAAGGAAAATTCTGGGGGTTTGCACAGCAAGAAGCTGATGACTCAATTTCCGCTGTGCCTCTGCTTGAATGGGAAGCACACAAGTGTTCTTTAGAATTGCCAGGGTAAGCTAATGCCTCCCACCTTAAATTTAAACCCCACTTTTCACTCACTTAGCAAACTGAAATTTTTTTTTAAAAAAGCATACTCCCCCTAAGCAGGCCAACAAGCCCAGTTTGCCAGAGTAAGGAAGGGGTGCTTTCTAAAGTTTGTGGGTACAGTGATTGTACATTCCAAACTTTCCAGGGGAGTCAGGATTTTGAATAAACAAATACTCTACCAATTAACACACAGTACATATTTTAATACGCAAACACCCTACCAATTGACACATAGTATTGGGTTGTCGGAAAAGTCAAGACGCATTTTTGCAACGAAAAACATAAAAAAATACGTCATGACTTTTCCGACAACCCAATAAATATTTTGACTAAATCTTTATATATTTTTCTACAAATAAATGCATACCTTCATGTAATCAGAAGTGAAAAATTTTGCAAGACTTTTCACATAAATAAATTCACATCTTTACAACTCCTTACTCAGTGTAGTGTCCGATTAAATTGATGCTTGGTTCAGAAAATGTGTACTTTGGAGAGGAAATATTTAGCATTCCTCTGTTCTCCATTTCTCTATCACTACAATATATGAAGTACCAGGAAAAGCCACATAGTGGACTCTTGCTTGCTCGATGTGGATATA